TCCCCACTCTGTCTCTGGTGAAGCCTCTCACTGCCCCTGCACCTCTGGCCTGTACCCCAGCTCTGTATGCACAAATAAATAAATCTTTAAAAAAAAAAATTCAACAGTTTATAAACCAGAAGTTAGCTGTCACATGGTATTAACAAGCTAGATAGGACATTGTTTCCAAAAGGAAGGGTGAAGACGAGGGGCATCTCACAACAGTCTGCACGACATGCTTCTAAGTGGCCCAAGATTTTCACCCACTTACTGGCGTGGCCCCTCAGTCACGCGGCCTCCCTGGTAGGCAGTCTCTATGTTGGTGTTGTTGGCGAGCCACCACAGCATCGTGGTCGACTGCGTGCCGGTTCCCAGAAACACTTTACACGGGATGGTCAGTTTCGACCCTGGGTACAGCAAGACAAGGAACATCCACCATCAGAAACCAGCTGAGGAGCATTGGTTACCCCAGTTCCTCAGGTCCACAACCAACCTGAGTGGTGAATCCTTCCCTGTGCCCTCAAAAACCCCAATTATTTTCTTTGAGGAAACTCAGCTCCTTCAATCCATTCCACGCAAATGGAGCATCAGTAGTTAGCAAGCATTTCCAATTCCTTCAACTGTTCTTCATGGCAGATAAAAATCCAGAGCCAATGGCTTCCCCAAGACTACTCAGTTCCTTCAGGATATTCTGAAGTCAAGAGCTTGCTTCTTCCACGGATTATTCTAATGACTTAAAAATCCAGACAAGGGCCCTCCCTGTTGGTGCAGCGGGTTAAAGCATAGCACTGAGAAGCTAAAGTCACTTCCGCATGAGTTTGATCCCCGCCTGTCCCAGTGGTGATCCACATGGCACAGCAGACCTCTCCTGACCCGCCCGCTGCTCCCCTCAGCAATGTATCTCAGTCAGTCAGCCTGTTCTGTTCCCTACTCTGTGTCTCGTGAATCTTCTCACTGCCCCTGCACCTCTGGCCTGTACCCCAGTTCTGTATGCAAAAATAAATAAATCTTTAAAAAAAAAAAAAAGACCCAGACAAATGTGTGGACTCTTTCTCTTAGCCCACTGCTGGTTTTCCCCCAACCCTCTCCATTCCCAGATCGACGTCATTAGGATTAATACCCTTAAAGCCCACTGTCTTTATAGGAATGGCTGCTCCCTATAGTTAAGCCACAAGAAGGTACTGGGCCCCCTGCTCAATCACTCTAGGTTATAGTTGTTTAAGTTACCCAGGGGGAAGGGACAGGAGAACATATCTGTCCCCCTTATTCCTGATTAGAGATATGCCTCCCTGCAGCGCATTATTTACTGTATTTCAGACTCAGAATGTCAGCTCCCCTTCCTCCTCCACCACCTCATATAAACTTAAAGACTCCAGCACAGCATTGCATTCTAAGCAACCAAGTGGGGAGTCGGCTTTACCGAGGTGGGGACCTCTGAGGGGTCAGGGTGCTGGGATTCCAGTCAGCACTCACCATTTCCCCCACTTCCCCAGGCTCCAAGGGGTTGTTCTCAGAGCCAAGGCTGCCACTAGGAGCTGCAACTCACATGGTAGACAGCAATTCCCAAAGCCCTCCTTTTTGAGGGAGGAATAAATGAATGGAATTAAGTACATGCATACAAGCACACCTACATCCTTACACCCCTCCGTATGGACATGCTTAGGATTCTGCAGCCAGGGTTTAATAAATAAGCATAAACCTACAAAACCAAATTCAAAATAGGGACACAGTCTTCACAGACACACCAGCATGAGTCTGAACCCCAATTTGACAGAGTATGAAGTTTTGGCTTCCCTGCGCCATCATGACCTGCTGGGCAGCTTTTCCTGCTGGACAATGGGGGCGCTAACACCTTACAGTGTCGCTGTCAGGACACAGCCCATCAGACACTGGAAACTCAGTGGGAAGCACATGAGGCCGGCAGCCTGTGCCACAAGGGGTGAAAAATGAAAACCACCAGTCGTCTTCACACACCAGCTATTCTGACAAGAAACTGTGTCTGAGCAGCCAGCGGTGGCGGGGCCAGCCTCACTTTACAGAGACAGCCTTTGGGAAATGCTGAGCTAGCCAAGCTTTATAAAATGAATTCTTTTAAATAAATTCACAGATGCTGACTCTGTAAGAAAATATGCCATTATACCTTTCATAGAGTTAATAACTGCTGCCAAAATGTTCATATATTCACATTAAATTTTTGTGGGTAGGATTTTCATGAAGCTCCATGTGCCTTCTTTCAGACGATGTCATTTCTAACAACTCTGATAAAGGGAAACGGTCCCTTGAGTTTGCTGTTTTGGCCTCTCACACTGGGGTTTTGGGGTCTCTTCCCGGCACACTGCACACCATGAGACATGGGATCCTGGAACCCCGGCTCTGCATACAGACACCTCCGTGGGTTACACAGTCCTAGCCTTACCCAGTGAAGCCAATATGGTCTCGTGGGGAGAGATAATCACAGGAATTGTCTCTTCTTGTCTTTCTGGGAAAGAGATGAGGAAAAGAACTTTGATTAGGAAAGTCTCTGAGTTCAAGTTCAAATTCCATTGTTTGACTAATTAAGTGGTCTTTTACAGTCTAAGAGTCAGTCATTATCTGGCAAAGGAAACAGGCTCCACAAAACTGAGAATCTTCAGCCAAGGCTTTCCCAGAAGAGAGGTTACTGGCAGCAGCCACAAACACATCCCGAGGCCAGATGTACTTTGCTCTCTGCTGCCCTCCCTGCATTCTTAGTGAATTCTTAATAGGACATTCACGCTGTCCACAGGATAGGTTCTACCCTGTTGAGAGATTACACGTGCAAAATGAAGTCACTTGTGCTAAGCTCCATGTCAGCCAAATGAGACTACCTGATCGACTGCCGTTTCTGCCTCTTCCAGAAATGCAAACTTTAACCAGGCAAGCTGGAGTTCCCTGGTCACACCAATGAGCTGTCAGTCAGACAGCCCGTCCAACCCCTACAGCAGGGACAATCTCTCTTCCTGCTTCCTCCTCCCCTCCCCCTTTCTTTCTATAAAAGTCTTCCATGTCTGTGGCTTTTGGGAGCCCTTCCTCCCACAGCTGGGCTGTTGCCCAATTCATGAATTCTTAAGTAAAGTCAATTAGATCTTTAAATTCACTTAGTTGTGCTTTTAAGCAACTCCCATGTCTCTGTGCCCTAAAATATCTCCCTCTGCTCTATCCCCAAGTACTCACCACAGAATAGTTACTTAAAAAAAAAAAAAAAAAAAAAAACTGGAAAGGGGCACAGAGCCTTGGACAATGCTCAGCCCAAGCCAAGTAACAGAGTAACACGGCATTAAGTAAGGGGGTTGTTAACTAAGGAGATAAACTCTTTGGGAAACAGGTGTATCTCCCAGGAATCAGAATCAAGCTCCCGGAGAAGCAGTTATCCATGCAGCATGAAGAAACGGGCACAAGATTAAAGCCAAACGGGCCGTGCTGGACACAGCTGCTGGCTCCACCCTCACTCCTTCCCTGAAAGAGTATGTTGAAACCCCCACATTAGTACGCAACGTCACAGGAGACCGGACTCTCTCCCTGCCCTCCTGTTAAAGGGCTGAAGCAGAAGCTGCGGCAGTGGAAGCCGGAGAACGAAGCTGCAAAGACTAAAGACACTCATGGTTCTTGCCTTTGAGAGTGCATCAGCAACACCTGGGGCCTCGTTTAACGCAGATTGCTGCCCCCTTTTCCAATTCAGCAGTTCTGAGAGTGACCTGAGATTCTGACAATCTAAGGAGGCTCCAGTGATGTTACTGCTTCAGATCCAGGACCACAAGGTGTTGGCGCCCTGAGAAGTGTGAGCACTAATGCGTAGGTTGGCTGCCCCCTAGTGTTCCTGTGCAGTACGACAGGCTCCTTCAAAGTCATGTCCCAGAGAGGTGATTTAAATGAATCTTCACAAGACTATACAAGAAATATAACCTAGAGCTTTTAGTCATTCAGTATAGTAATACTGAATCTCAGGGTTCTCTGTGAAAAAAGAGTATTTAACCCTCATAAGCCAATTATTTAATCTTTATATATTCCCAAGGTTCTGTAAAATGCCCTAGAGTCCAATTGTGTTAATTATTTCGTGTATAAAATAGTTTTGTTACTTTATTTTATTATTGTTGTTCACAAATGTCTCACTCTCCAGGGAAGATTCCAGGGCTTAGACATTTGTATGCCCTCAGCATCAAGCTTGAGGGGAGGTATGAAGTAAATTTTGAACTAATCTTTAACAGTAAAAATTTAAATACTAAAACTTAAAATCCTGTTCACAGCCTATTTTCAACTAGAACTCATTTAAATCAAGGAGGCCTCTCACTATTTGAAATCTTGCCTCAGGAGACCAGCAAGGGCACTTTCCACTGGCTGTAACAAAGCATAATATTCAAAGCTAGCAAAATCCTAGCATCCCACAATAAGTCAATAGCAACCATGTTCTGACGGCTGGCCCTGCAAACACAAGCCTTTGGATTGGGCTCTCCAAAAGGACCCCCAGTTTGCCCCGCTAGTGTTGTGTTTTAGCGTTGGACTTAGAACTCTATCAACGACCTTTCCCTGTTTAAGGCCTTCCAAAGTGTCACACACACACATCTTATTACCCTGAACTTTAGGGTGGTTGATAGCATCTTTCTTTACTGTCATGCCAAAGACATTCAAAGAATTCTAATAAGTGCTAATGTGTTCCTTGCACACTAGCTCTTGAACCAGGTGGAGAGGGACTTTGTGACTAATACTTACTGTTGACACGTAGCTCAATATTCCGAGTGACATTGTATTGCTTGCCTTCATAGTCAAATTTCATCACACAGGTGTAATAGCCAGCATCCTCCACAGACACATTGAGTATGAGCAAGCGAGTGGTTTCCTTCACACTAACAAACTTCTTGTTATCTTGATCCAAAAGGACAGAATCCTTAAGGGGGAATTTTGGAAATGTTTTTTCAGTCACACCATATGTATATCAAAAGCTATGAAGACCATCATTATTATCAACTAATACTGAGTTGGCAATCCAAGAAATGCCTTGGTCTTTCCTTTGCCGATGTTTTTTGGATACACTTCAATTGTGTTTTCAGGAGAGGGAATTTGGTTAGCTGTGATGCTTGAAGTATTGGTTAAAGTACAATGGGGAAAAAAGGAAACTCTTGACAAAGCATGTCGTTTAAAATACAAACTTATTTATGACCTAACAGCTGCTCAAACTTATTTATGACCTAACAGCCTTAGGAATCACCCTGGGGAGAGTACTACTATTAGATAGTTTTGGCGACATGCAAAACAGTGTTCAGAAGAGTACTAAGAGTCTGTAGAAATGGAGAAAATATGTAAGAAAAAAAACTAGAGAGAGCATGAGACCACACTTTTCATATGGAGAAAGGCACTGTGGCTCCGCATCAGGGCCTTCTAAAGCAAGGCTTCCTAGAATAGAAGATAGGACAGGCTGAATGGAAGAGAAGAAAACTTCGCAGTGAGCACGAAACAGTCTCAAGGACATCTCTTTCAAAACCATGATGATCAAAAGCTTGTAATCGTCAAATATAACCTTGAGTCATTTCAGAATCCCACTCTGAATGAGAACACAGACATAACTGACATATATTTAAGGAAAGGGAGAAATTTCATTGTTCCTAAGATGAGTCGTCAACCATGGGGAAAACAAGAAGGTTTTGTTCCCTTGAGCTGCCAGCACCCCTGCCTGCCTGGCAGAGGTGAGACCTGGCACCTGGGTTATTGTTTTGGCTTCCCTGTTTACATTTCTGGAGCTCTGCTTCCTATTCCCAAAAAAAATGGAGATATTACAAGTCCCGACTTCAGATGACTGGATTAAAAAGAGGTGGTACATATACACAATGGGATATTACTCAGCAATCAAAAAAGATAAACACATGCCTTTTGCAGCAACATGGATGGAGCTGGAAGGGATCGTGCTTAGTGAAATAAGCCAGAAAGAAAAGGAAAAATACTGGATGGTTTCATGCATAGCAGGAGTATAAAGGACCAGAGGGGGAAATAATAATAATAATGAACAACTATATACCAGAGACATTTTATAGGGGTACAGTGAGGAATAGGATTAAAAACGGGGGGTGGGGGGGTGGAATGCACTGAACTATGGTGATGGCACATGGGTGATTTGGTGATGGGAAGCCCACAGGTATTACAACTGAGGTGGAAAAAGGCACAAAATGATGTAAAAATAAACTATTATATTATTCTTAAAAATGTTTTTGAGGCCCTCCCTGGTGGTGCAGCGGGTTAAAGCACTGCATTAAGAAGCTAAAGCCACTTTCGCATGAGTTCAATCCCCGCCTGTCCAGGAGGAGATCCACATGGTGTGGCAGACCTCTCCTGACCCGCCTGCTGCTCCCCTCAGCAGTGTACTTCGTCGATTTGCCTGCTCTGCTCCCCTGGTGAATCCTCTCACCCTCCGCATCTCTGGCCTGTACCCCAGTTCTGTATGAATAAATAAATAAATCTTAAAAAAAATGTTTTTGAAAGACAACTAGTACCCAAAAGCTTTCCAGATGGCAAAGTCCTCAGTCTATTATAAAATATTTTTAATTGCCTTTTATTGGAAGGATATTTGTTTACTACATTACTTTTTAAATCTTTCAGCATCAGTAAATTGAGGTTGTAACCCTGAATTAATTCCTTGAAGAACTTTTAAACATCATCACCATAAAATTAAGTTCTCAGACCAAAAGACAGGCAAAATATTTGGTACGAATGGACTTCATGAATTTTCTCATTGTTGTCCTCAAGGTCATCCCTTTATTGAACAGTTATACACCTGCACTCATTGGCTTTAGAACAATGATGGATTTTATGATGCCTTCCAGAAGCTTTTAGTCAAAAACATGGAGCCTAATCAAAAATCATGCCAAAATTATATTAAAGTTTCTTTGCAATGACTATACTCTTTTAAATATTTTAAATATTTGGAAACCTCTGAATTTTGGTCCTTTCTTTTAAATATTCTTCTAAATATGGTATGTGTGAAAATATTATTAAAAAAAACAAAAAAAACCCTACTTCACTAGGTTGCATGTGAGTGAGCTTAGAACAGAGTAGCCCAGTTCTCATTAAGAGAACCAATACTACTAAGCACCTCTGTGATAGCCTCCTCTCGCCTCATCCACGGACACCACTGAGCTGTCAGGCACTGTTCTCCGGGCTCCCAACACAGCCCTCCACTTAATCTTCAACACAACCCCAGGCAAGGAACACTTGGCAGAAGAAGCAGATTCAAGCTAATGGTTGGCCAAGCTGCACAACAGGTAAATGAAGAAACAGCATTTCAAAGCCAGGCTGCTGGGCCCAGGGTCGGTGCTCTTCCTCTGTATGTAAAATGCTCAGGGTCTCGTTCTATTCTCCATCCACCAAGAGAGAACTGGCTCTAACTGGGCTGGTTAGTGCATAGGACTTGATGCTCTCACCTTCCTTGATGAAAATCATTGTAAAGTTTTCAATATGAAATTAGCTATGTTGCCTACCTGTCTTTGCTCGTAACACCAGTCAACCGGCTAACCTATTTTTGACTCCAGGGTTCATTTCTGTGGTGTTTAAATGACTTCTGATCTATCAGGAAACAGCAGGCCTTTTTCATAAAGGGCCAGACCGTCATAACTCAGACCTGCCATGCACAGCCCTCTGTTCAATTCCTCAACTCTGCCGTGGTGTATGAAAACACAGACACAACTGAGCAGGGTCATCCTGTTCCAGTAAAATGTTATTTATGGACACTGAAATTTGAATTTTGTGTTGTTTTATCATGTCATGAAATATTGTAAAAACTACCCTTCACTGGCAGGCAAGCCAAAAAAAACCCACAGCTCAATTCAGCCACAGCCTGTGTCTTGCCCACATTTGGTGACCCGCTGATACAGTAGTTATTCAAGCAGATGAGGGGATATCATGCAGATATTTACTTTTTAACCCAAGGGTTAATTACCATGCGCTTCTCAAAACTCCATTAATACATGTATAAAGTTATAAAATAAACGAAGTTATTTCTACCTTTTTACAGACACATGAGAATAAAAAGCTTTTCTTCTCCAGCTGTTACTGACATTTTGTGCTTTTTGATTTTGACATTTCTGTCTTCTCAAATATTATTCTAAGGACTCTAACCAAGGCCCATAAGGATTTAAAGGAACAGATGAATCATGACCCTTTTTTTAATAAATTAGTTTAAAAAAAAAAACTAAACTAGGAAAGTGATTATGTTGCCTTCAGTGTGGGTATTATTATCTTTTTTATGGCTAGTAAAATTCATTTTTATTAAATAGCAAGTTTTGAAGACATACCTTGTACCACTGAAGTTTTATGTCAGTTTTATTACGGGTAAATTCACTCAACTCAGGGCAAACCAATGACCCCGAGGATGATAAGATCAGGATTTGCGGGTAGGACATGAAAGGCAGGAAAGCATCTGTCTTCTCAAACACCTTCAGCTCAATGGACATTTCATCACAGTGAGAAGCATTTCTGATTTAAAAGGGGGAAGAAAGGGTAATCAATCAATGGTAAAGCAAAAATAAAAGGCGAGTTCAATGAAATGAAGAATAATATCCCAAACCCATGGATTCTGCGTTCTGCATTTTCTTGATTAATATTGCAACACTTTTGTTCAGTCTTTTGAGTTCTTGTCAAAGTTGGGGGGGGGGCAGAAAGGGACAAAAAGCACCATATGGGCCTTCCCTGGTGGCCAACAGTTAGGGAACAGCACTGCAAGCAAGCTGCAGCCGCTTCAGTGCGAGTTTGATCTCCCGCTGAAGCTGACCCACATGGCCCAACAGACCTCTCCTAACCTACCCACTGCTCCCCTCAGCAGTGTACTTCATCTATCTGCCTGTTCTGCTCCCCACTCTGTCTCTGGTGAATCCTCTCACCCCTCTGCACCTCTGGCCTGAACCCTAGTTCTGTATGCATCAATAAATAAATCTTTAAGGGCCCTCCCTGGTGGCTCAGTGGGTTAAAGCACAGCACAAAGAAGCTTAAGCCACTTCCGCATGGGTTCGATCCCTGCCTGCCCTGGAGGTGATCCATATGGCGTGGCAGACCTCTCCTGACCCACCCGCTGCTCCCCTCAGCAGTGTACTTTGTCGATCTGCCTGCTCTGCTCCCCACTCTGTCTCTGGTGAATCCTCTCACTCTCCGCATCTCTGGCCTGTACCCCAGTTCTGTACGAATAAATAAATAAATCTTAAAAAAATAAATCTTTAAAAGAAAAAAAAAGCACCTCACCATTGTGTATAGAAATAGTGATGGATTCTGTGTTTTTCCTGAAAGATCCTCTACAAGTCTACTTTCAACACCACCAAGGGCCCCTAACGTGCCAGTTTCTGGGGAGCCCTTGTGCACAGCCTCAGTGTGCTCCCGTTTCCACACAGGCAACCACAGCCAAACTGAGAGATGATTCCCTAAGAGCCACTGTTTCTATATAAAAAGTACTCCCTTTACTTCTCTTGGGAGTCATTTATCAAGTGAAGTCTAATTTCAAAAAACTGCTAAGAACTTAGTATCAGATCTAAAAAAGATATTTGCATTACTACACAGGAGAAATTATCCCAGTAAGTTTGTTTGGTTTTTAATATGAGGGGGTTGTCCTAACTGTAATCTCAATATCATAATTCTGTCAATACCCTAGAACTTGGGAAAGGGCAAACAAAAACATTACCAGAAACATGAGGGAAATGCAAAGGACAGAGGATAGCAATTAAAACTATTTTTAAGTAGAAAAACATAAAAATGTAATTATCTCAGCTAAGTTCCTGGCTACCTAAGAAATATGGTACAGCAGCAGAGACAATGAGAATGTGTGTTATATGAAGGGCAGGTTGGGGAGAGACCGCCCAACAAAACTGCAAAACAAATCTTCTTCCAAGGAAAGAACAAAGTGTAATAAACACATATGAAGGTATTAAGAGATGAAAGCTTACTACCTAAAAATAAAATGCATTAATTTAAATATATAAGGCAATGTCTACATTATATTTCATAACTGTTTTTTAAAGGAAAATGAACAAACATTTTATGCATAAAGAAATGCAAAAATTTAACTAGCACCTTGAAAAATGCATTATCTCTGTAAATCAGAGAGATGCAAGTGAAGCCAAATTAAGTAGCAGTGCATTCCTGAAAATAGTCATCCCAGCGGGCTTGTAGTGAGAAACTCCATGCCAGGCCCTGTGCTGTGTATTCCATATAGATTGTTTCATTGAATTCTCCTATACTATGAAGTAGAAATTTTTAGTGTATTTTTAGATGAAGAAAATGAGGTATATGTAAGTCGAGCCATTTCCTAAGTGTGCTGAGACACTAAAGAAGTCCACTCAAATTTGAAAGCCTAATAAGGCTCTGGGAAGATCCACAAATTAGGGCACCATCTACAGAAAGCAAGTTACTAGACATATCGAGAGTTGCAAATTTGTTCAGTTTACTGACCTGGTAATTTCCCAGCAAGACTAACTCAAAACAAAGAGGCTGCAGAGGGACTGGGAAGTGATCATTTGACCCCCACTCCTCTGTCCCAGGTAGTTGCACCCCCACAGGACAGGAGCAGCAGCCACCCATACTAGTCACCAACTACCCAGTTTCCTCCATTCTCTGCGCACACAGGGTTATATGTGCTGGCCCTACAGTAGGTGGGAGCAGCCACAGGACTTTTCTACTCAGTTGCAGCTGCATCCTTTCTACACCAAAGTTGTAGTGGCACGAGAGACTCTTCAAAGCACGTTTCCTTTTGCTTCATCAACCAACAACATCTGAGAGTGACTTTTGCAGTCCCTGGTGCCTGGGGTCTCTTTGGTCTGGAGTGGGGGTGGAGTCCATAAAACCTGTGTTTGTGGATTTAATTCAGGACATCCTTCCCCCCTCAGCACCCTCCCTCCCCACACACACACACACATTATCACTGTAAAAGTAAGCATTGCCTTTGGGATAGGAAAGGGCATGTCTGGGTATACTGACCTCCCACGTGGGGTACTACCTACATCTCCTATGCTGTGACGTCACAGAATCTCAGCAATCTCTGTACGGAGAGGAAACTGAGACCATAAATGTGGAGTGATAAGATCATGGCCCCACCAGATAGGAAATGAGAATGCTAAGAGGCACATCTATATATTCTGACACCAAATTCCTTTTTCTACCATACTGTGAAGTCTTCTGGTAGTGTTTGTTAGGGGGAAAAAATAGAATTTTCACATTAAAAGAGAAAAAGCCAAAGTGCTTGTTAAAGATAAGGTTAGATAAAGATCATGTGGTTAGTTATTCAGCTATTTTTAAGAAGATGAAGTCCTGCCATTCGCAGCAATATGGGTGGACCTGCTGGGTGCCAGGCTCAGTGAAATAAGGCAGATGGAAAAAGACAATCACTATATGACTTCACACATGTGACAATAAAGAAACAAAGGCATGAACTAAATATTTCAAAAATGAACTTTTACACTATCAGGTCAAATTAGTGTTTACCAAAAGGCAAAGAAATAAACTAACTAAAATTGGACACTCACTTGAACCCATGCACAAAATTTAACTTGAAATGACTTAAGTCTAAAAGGAAAAACTGTAACAATTTTTGGAAGAGAACAAAGGAATAAAGCTTCCCAACATTAGATATGGCAGTGATTTCTTGGACATGACATCAAGAACACAGGCAACCAAAATAAAAATAGGTAATAAAGTGAAGGTCACAGAAGTTTTAAACTTTTATACAGCAGAGGTAATATTAACAAAGTAAAAAGGCAACTGTCTCATTCTCTGCTGGAATGGAGAAAATTTTTTAAGTTATATATCTGGAAAGAGATTGATATCCAGAATAGAGAAAGAATTCCCACTTCTCAAAAACAAATAATTCAATTTTTAAAAATGAGCAAAGGAATTGAATAAATTTTGTTTAAAGAAGATACACAAATAGCCAATAAAGCACATCATTAACCATTAGGGAAGTCTCAGTCAAAACCACAATGAACTGCACAATATCCATCATGATGACTATTATAATTTTTTTAAAGAAAGAAATTAACAGGTGCTGATGGGGATATAAATGAAACATTGCAGGATGAAAATAGCACATCCACTGTGGAAAACAGTATGACAGTTCCTCAAAAAGTTAATCATAATTACCATATGATCCAGCAATTCCACTTTTAGCTATACCCCCAAAAGAAAGTGACACAAGCTATGCAACCTCTGTCGTCAGACATGGTCCGGATGGAGGGGAAAAGATCTGAAAAATCAGACTTTTCACTGATAACTTATGTTATGACCTCCCTTTTTTGTACAACCGTAATATCAAAATATTCTGAGCAACTTTCAGCTTACAATTGGACTGTCTCGACCACACAAGGCCTGCCTGCCTTGATAAGCAAGCACTACACAAGGGTGAAAAAATTCCCCTGAAGTCAAGTGACTTGACTACTGACTGATAAAAGCAAAAGGGCTGT